AATTCTTGTTCACACCCTAGAAAGAACTTTGTAGGTCATCTCAATCCATGAGAGCTGCAAACAAATATGGGAATAAGCAAAGACTTTAAAACCGTCAGATGGGTAATGTTAGATAAATTCAGTCACTTTTGTCCATAGCCTACCTTACAGAAAGGGAGTATAAGCCTTCCCTTTCATTACTCTTCCTCAAGAGATAGCTTCCATCCTGCCCATTGGAGAGAAGCAGCGCTTCTGCTGCATGCCGGGTAAGGTTATCATGATACCACCTAGGAAGATACAAGGGTTAAATCGTCACTCACCCTGAGCGTCAGCATTCGTTCTTAGCTTGCAGCTTCTGCTGAGTTATGAAGCTGAGCTAAGGAAAAAAAGGAAGGCCTGCAACTAACGCTGTTACAATGGGCAGTTATCATTCTTGTCACATGCGCACACAGGTTGCCCAGAACTGTTCCCCTTTAGGCAGCCTCCTTTTGACAAGACCAGAAAGTGGTTGGGGGGTGCGGGGGGTTGGTTTTTTTGTTTGTTTGTAGGTTTTGGAGTAGGTGTTCCTTCAAAATTTGGCAACAGCTGACAGTTTGCTGAATATTTAAAAAAAAAAAAAACTTGCTAATTTAGCCTGCATGAACAATGAGACGTTATCTAAATGTATGTTGATTTAGGTGAAAGATTTTTTTTTTTTGGGGGGGGGGAATTCAGGCTTCTCTGTCTATTTGCTAAATCTGTACTTCCTGACATATCTACGCGCTTCAGTACACTTCCTCTTTTGGGGCAAATAGGCAACACTGTTAAGAAACCTCCTCTCAAATCCTACATTCCCTGCAACCCGGTTCATCTGCACTGTTAAGATCTGTAATAAAACTGAGTTGCCTAAATTTAAAATCTTCATTTGAAACATAACCATTCTGGAGGAAAGAACAGGGGAAGGGAACAAAGTTATCTGATAAAACTTAAAAGAAAATTTTAATTCTGCTATCATTGCTGCTCAGCCATACATGTTCTGAGCAACACAGCAAAGCATCTGAACGCTTGCTTCATTTAATGATATGAAAAATTAGACAGGGAAGTTCACTGGAAGAATCCAACTGTGAAACCTTGGTTTTGGCCTAATTTCTGTCCGGAGTGATTTAGCATAGAAAAACTTGATTTTTTAAAAGAAACTCTCAGTTAAAATGTTTGAGGCTGAACATATTAAAAAAAAAAAGAGGAACAGATATAAAAGGCTGGGGGTGTCATCCTGTAACAGAGGGCAGGTATTATTAATAGCTATGTTTGCAACTTCAGATACCAAGGTAGGAGGAAATGCAGTATTTCTGAGCGGAATTAGCTTTTTGTTAATAAACAACTATTGCATCTTGGTCACACCTTAACATGCAGGGACAGTATGGCAAGAGCAGAACTACCTCTGGTGCTGAATTGGGCACGGCTCTGCCAGGAGTGAGGCTCTTCCCGTGTGTGTGTGTGTTGGGAGAATCTCCTTCCCCACCCTTTAATCTGTGTGTGCATGTAACTTTGGGGTCCAATTCTATTACTATTTCAGCTAGAGAAATATAGGTTGGTGGAGAGCTGGATCACAGCACTTCCTGGTGTTTGTATTATGGCAGTCTTCAAACTGAAATGATGTGAATGATGTGTAACTGCGTACTCTTCCTCCTTATCTGTTCACTGCAAGCTGCTACTGAACTTGGCATCCTCCCCCCCACCCCGCCTTGCCCCCCAAAGCTTTAACTCTGGATTTAGACGGCTGCCTATTCGAAAGGCCAGCTGGTTGATAAATTGCTTTACGAAAGACTGCAGACCGTTAACCCTACGGAAGACAAGATCCCCGTGAAACTTAACACCAGCAGGATGTTGCTTGCTTTGGCTCTAGAACGTGCTCTATGGGCTGCCTGCGCTGTAAGGAATACAATCATGAACGTTCAAAGATCAAGGGGTCATCCTCTGAAACACCTGTTAGCCAAAATCGGCTTTGGGATTAACTGCCCAAGTAAGTCAGAGTCAAAGGTCAGGTCCCTCCTGATGCTACGAGGCTGGTATCAGCACGCACGCTTGGCTGGATCTAGACCTGGGAATCTCACCTGTTTGAGGGGAATCTCATAACGCCTTTTCTCTCACTTTTGTGCAGAAAAAACATGCATTGAGAAAAATCTATAAATGGCCAATTTCATAAAGAAGGCGTATTCAATTTGAGGTTAAGGGCACAGTTACCTTATTTCCAAAAAGCCTTTTATTAAGATATTTTAAAATAGAAGTCACTCTGTTTAAAAAAAATTCCATTTAAGTATGGTCTCTCTTCAAGCACAAAGATCCTGACCAATGAAATTTTTGCACTATGCAGTGCCAAAAAAACCAAAAAAACAAAAAAAACCCACCTTAGTTTGGGAAATAACATTGACACAAAGTGCATATCTCAATCTTTGGTGAAAGGGTTCCACCATTCTTCTCTCATGAATAGGCTGTCTCAGACAAAAATCTCTCAAACATTAGGGTCGTCTTGCTCACTTCAAAAAGTAGAAATGGATGCGATGCCATAACATGGCTCTCCATGCCAAAGCAACTGTTATTTTTGCTGCCTTTCTCCAGTCAGTGAAATATCAGAGTAACCTGACAGTTGTTACTGTTTGAACCATGCAAATGGTCACTCAAATCTTGTTCCAGTAACATGAACACAAGTTCATTTTAAAATCCTGTGGCAAATTCAGTATTTGCACACAGACCACCAGGAAGGTAAGTACGCAAATAGTCTGTTCTCCCAATAAAGCCTGTCTTATCACCCAAATGCAAGCAAACAAGGCTAGGAAGAAACTTAAAGGAAAGCCTCGATCCAATTTTCCTCAAATAAGCAGAGTAGCTGTTTAAAAAGTCCAAATTCTCCTTGGTGCAAATCAACTATGAAATGTATTTGACCGTAACGATTCTGAATACACTTGGCACTGCTGCCTGTACTAACCTCCTATTTGTAAATGAGCGATCCTGACCATAGACCAGTCCACTGCAGAAGGCTCTGAACTGCCCTGTTTCTTAATTTACAACCGGTAGAAATGCTAAATATATGCTAGGAATATCTTTAAGATGTATGTAACCTTTCAAACCTCTACGTCTTAAATTGCTGCTTTAACTGGTCTAATTTAAACTGATTATACTGCAGTCTGATGTTGTTATAAACAACAGTGGTCCAATAAGTGAACCAAGGTCAAAACTTCATGTCACTGTTTCTCATAGTCAAGTCCTCTGCCTTTGCACAGCCAGTCTAATAACTGATCTGGAGCCACCAAGAGCTGCTAATTACCACTGCTGATTGAATAAAAATGCCAGCACCATTTCATGAATTCACTGAAGTTTCCTAACAGCCATGTTACTACTACATACATTTCAATTGACTTTAAACATTTGGAGGAGGAGGGGAATGCTTTGAATTTGGTGGGCAAAAAAGGCAGGATTTAAAGAAAAGTCATACTGGTCTGATAAATTCTGTTCTACATCATCTGCTATCAACAGAAGTCTTAAGACAGCACACTGGAGCTCAGCTTTCGTATGTGGTGGTATTATATCAAGGTGGGGCAGACAGTTCATTCAACAGGACTTTGTAAGGGGCAGCCACCTTTAGCTTAAGTTCTGTTCTTTTCTCTGTGATACCTACGTGCCTGGGAGAGGAAACAGTTGATGGAAAACATAATATATCTCTATCTCCCTGCTTAATTAAAAAAGGAAACTAATAAAATGTAATTGAAGGCTTTACAAATACCTGTCTTTGAAGCCTTTACTAAGACCATCAGCAAGCCATTCTAGTTATTTACTTTCCTGGGGGAAAACTGAACTCTGTCTTACAGCCCTTCCAGTCTGAACCACATTGTATATCTTGAGTATCGGCCTATTTCTAAAAGCCCTTCCAAAAATCATCTCTAATTTGACTCAACCTATAGCGCTTGTACTCATTACAAAAATCCCAGAGAGAGCCTCTGCACTCTGACACTTGCATCAGAGTGCAGAACTTGCCTGCAGCTCCTGAGAGAGCTCTCTGTGAAGAAGCGGACAAAGGGGAGAAGATGGAGCAAAGTTTCTTCCCTGCCTCAGAGCCTAGTTGAATCAATAATTTTGGCAAGTGCCCTTGGCCTTGGAAGTCTTCCTGTCTCAGACACGTACGTACTTCTGGGAGGTTTTTCTTGTCTAATAAACTTTCCTTCTCCTACCAAAAACCCTGCTCACTCTAGTTTGTGTATTCAGGCTTCTCTCTTGTCAGTTTGACTGGCCACGTCGGTAACAATGTCACTTCATAAAAGCTGCCAGAATTGTTTATCTGTTCTTGTTACCCTAACTTTGTATTAAATTATGTCAGGTCTCTTTATCCCACGTTCATAACTGTTTGTGCTGTCAGTGCGTGTTGTTGGAGGACTGTGCTATTCTTCCTGCTCTAAAGTTTTCAGAAATTAGACTACTCTTCAGATTAGATTGCATCAGCGACAGTGTAGGAAGGCTTTAACTGAGGTCACTGTTAAATAGAGCGGGGAGGGGGGCAGACAATTCCCTAGAGAGGCAAAAGTCATAGCACTTGGCTTTGTTCTGAGAAGCCCCCTGCCCAGTCACCAGTGTGATTTCCCCCAACGGGGTGAGCTGGTAGCTGCTGCAGCACAACCTTGTCTACACCAGCAGTCGGTACCCCCACAGCCATGCCAACAGGCACCATTCCAAAATAGGGCATGCTGATGTTGTAACGTCTTATTTTATGAAGATCTCTGTGTAATTAGTACAGTGATTACATCCTTCTACCCTGCAGTGGTGATCAGGAGTCTGCTACAGCAATATTTGGGGTGGGAAATTCCCTTTTCCAGTTAAAAAGAACAGCCTCAAAACGTTCATTTGTTCTCTTTAACAACTCAATGTTTTTAAGGAAAAACGTTAATGAAATTTTATTTTAGGTGTAGGGAGGGAGAATCTATATCCCCCTGCAGATCCAGGAGCCCTTACACGTGGGATTTGTCATTTCTGATGACATTGACAAACTATATGGACGCTTTTCAAAACGCTTCTCTTCTGCCTGTGTAAACAGGGGCTGGCAGTAAAACTGCAGCTGATATCAGGTGGACTAACTTTTAAACTCTACTGGAATACAGAAGGAATAAAAACACTTAGCTGGGACTAACCTAAGGAGTGATATTACATGACTTCTGGATAACCATCTTCTCAGCCCTTTCCATAGGCAATCTGCTTAATGCCCAACAGAAACACTTAGTTGCCTTTCTCATAAGGATAAAAGCTAGCCATGACGGGTAGAGAGCCCAGCGAGAAGTTTTAACTGCCACTTGTTTTTACTGTTTGCAGTGATACTTAACTTTGAGCTATGCCTAGCTAACAGATAACTGTTAGATAAAAGTAGCCAAGGTTGGACTTATTTTTTGTGTCCTTATCAGAATGTCTTCCCAGGTTATTACAGATGTCTTGACTTACTTTTGTAAAAAGTCAAGCAGTTTAAAGTTCCTCATTAGAAACAGGAAGGAGATTCTTGATACTCAGAGCTGAGTTATCTCCCTACTCCCTCCTCAGAAACAGCAAGTCAGTGCAATACTACTTGTATTCCTGGGCAGGTGACTGTCCCTGCTGATGGCACCTCGGCTGCCTGAGCTACAGGAGCCACGCAGAAGTGCAGCAGTCAAATTCATCTGTCTCACCCATTTCTGAAATGGAATAAAGATCCACATAAGGGAAAAACGGCCTAGATGTGCTCTGAGTAGGATTTCATTCCTAAATTATTTCAGAGCAGATATTTACCCTGTCTTTTGCGGTGGTACATGTTGGTAGGTTTTGCCCCTTCCCCCTGCTTTACTTATTTATTTATTTTGCATAAAAATATCCTGCACCACAACCAGTTGAATTTTCTTATACCTTGAAACTATATACTAACCTCAAGATTCATTCCCATTCTTATTTTAAAGGAGTTACTGCACTGCTTGATGAAGCAACTGGGAAAGCATTCATTTATCTCTTCGGGCCAGGTGCAGTGCTTCTTGTGTGCCTTTATTCCCAAAATGACTCTGCAGAATGGCTTCATCGGTTTCTATCTCTGTATACTGGACTTCAGCAACTTCCAGATCAGAGGTGTGCGTTTAATTCTTTTTCTCATTGACAAACTCTAGAAACATCACCTATCATCTGAAAGTTAGAAGGGTTCTCTGTACTTCATATCAGTAAAATTGCAGATTTTTGCAATGTGTTTAATGGCTTCCAAGTTGACAGCTCTAGAAAAATCAACAAAAAGGGTGAAAGACTGAGATGAATGCTAAGAAAGAAGGTATAGGTGGCATACAACCAAAACCGGTATTTGTTAGACATCTTTCTAATGTATAACATTGAAACACTGAATCATACACTCATGCAAAGTACACTGTTGGAACATAAGGGTGCCATTTCACAGAAAAATTACTCTAAAAATGGAAATGTAAGTAACATCAATGTATCCAACCTTAAAGTTCTCTCCCTCTGCTATCGGTAGGCTTTCACTAGTTCAGCTTCTTCTTCTCACTTCCATTTTCTCTTCCCCTTCTCTCAACTGACTCTGTTCCGGTTTTCACCCATTTCTCTTTCTTTAAATCTGCTACCCACCTCCTAACTGTCACAATTTTGTCCTTGAAAAATTGATTTTTCTCTATTAGAAGCAAAGCTGAAGACTATTTCTTCTGACAATTTACCCTGTCCTAGCCACTGCAGTTCCTAAGCACATAAATACATTTTTATCATCACATAATTTAGGCCTCGTGGTCTAATTTCTTTTCTCTTACTAAAACTAAGTGTGAAGAGTATTGTTCGGTCTTACTGTATTGTCATCGTATTGTCAAACCTGGAGCTAAGAAAGGTAAAATCTGTGCTAGTAGAGACAACAAAGAACACTGGCACTGCAGAGGGAAGAAAATGTCAAAAGCATGTTTCCTCTTCCCCAATTCTTTCCACCTCTGAAAGACAGAAAACAACGCAGTACCACCAAAGCTATGCTACGCTGGAGTTGACTTTGCGTTACCAGGCCAGCCTGTAATTACTCGGATGACAAGCTATTCCACGTTCTCTTCTCTTGCGCAAATACGTGAGTTACCGAATGGAATTCCCCAAACTCAAGCTACACGTGATCAGCTACAGGAGCTCATGCCACAGTGCAAACGCTGATGTTTTAGCAAAGGCAGCAATAAACCCCACGGGGAAAAAGGGCTGATTACAGGAATAGCTGAATAGACCTATTAAGAAGACTCAGTAAGTTTGTTTTCTCTTCCTTTAAACAAAGATGTCTCTTTTTGTCTCTTTTGACAAATTTCAAAGTTCCCTATTTAAATATTTCTTGTAATTTTAGGGAAGAAGTTAGTAATTCTCTCATCTCTTTAATTATATGCGATATTCTGATTTGGGTCTTTCTCTTCATTAGACGCTGGTTCTACTTATAAACACCTTTACATCAATGAAGTTGATAGTATTCTGAATGTTCACTTCAAACTCTTGATTATCTGACCACCAAAACTCTCAAATAATTTAGAGGGCTCCAAATATGTACAAGCCACTATTTTCCCTCAGCAAGGATGACTGAAAGAAACGGTGTAAACCAGGAAGGCGGTAAAGAGGGGAAAGTGATGGGTTTGGTTTTCTTTTGGTGTGATGTAAGAGGCCAAGAAGTATATCCTTATAAATACTGAGGCTTTGGAGGAAAACAATCTGATAAACAGTTGCAGACGCTTCCAAATCGCTCAGTGACTGTGATTGTCCTTGATCATTATTTGAATGGTTAAATCCTTATTTCCTGTCACTTTTAGTGACAGATGGGATACCTGTAGAGCAGGAATAAGACAAAAGATGGGTTTTTGCACACATTGATTTTTAGTGTTTTGACACAACAGCAAAAGAGCATTCTTGATGTTTTCACTCTTGAAAACTACCTTTTTTTTTCCTTCATTGTTCTTAACAACTTCAGTGTTCCCTATGCAATTACTAGAGCATTTAACTGGAATAAACCAGTGAACACCAGGCCCTCCAACCCAGCAAGCAGTCGGATAGGTTTTATACTGCAAACTCTTCTACGTTGCTGTCAGCTTTCAGTTCTGGTGACCAGCTGACCTGGCAAAATATGAGGATATTGCGGTAGTCAATCTCCTTTCTCTCAGAAGTAAAGAAAAAAGTGCTTCCCATTTAACACTTCTTCAAACCTTCTCCCAAGTTCTTTGATTTTTTTTATTTTTTTGGTGGGGGGGGGGGGGGCACAGTAAAGCAGAAGGTCTAAAAATAACCTGCTTCAATTCCCTCCAAAAGGCATGTTAATTTCAAAGTTGCTCATCATTTGAATGAATTTTGTCTCTGTTGGTCTTTATTACTGCAATGATGTACGTAAGGTTTTAAAAATATATATATATATATTTTTTTTTTTACCACTGTAAGACACAGGTCCTACTCAGATTCAGGTCTCAGTTGTGGTAGATTCTATAGTGGCATAAAAGGGAACTCATCACTGTCGCAGAACCAGAGACAGTTTAGGGGGGAAAAAAAGTCTTGTGGTGGCTGAGAATTTAAAGTTATGGTCTGTATCATCTGTTGAGAGTGACAGGCTTGCTTTTCACTGTTGATATACATACATACATAGAGATTCACTACATGCCTAGTGAATATGCTACATGGAGAAAGACAGACCTTGGCTCTGAACATACAGAGCCAAGGAGTCTCCTCTTTCCTCTTCAGGAAATTCAAGAAAAGTAGACCTAATACTAGCTGAAAGAAGGGCTTCACTTAAGGACTTGAAAGGAGTCTTTGCTCGGCATGCTTATTCACACTTACTTCATTTAACTCAACAGGTTGCCCTGAAATAGATGCTTGGTGTTTTGTTGTGTGAAAAGTTTCAACTTTCCATTGAAGGAGAAGCATTTTAAAGCTGTAGCTTCTTTTATATCTTTGTAGCCTTCTCATTCAGAGTTTGGTCCTTCTCACTTGTACTAGGTCAGGCTGCAGTGCTACAAGAGGAGGATGGATTCCTCACCAACCTGTGAAGCCCTCTATGAGCACCGATCCACGGCAGAGAGCAACTCAGGCCATACAGCCTACATGACTTGCAATCTCACAATTTGCAAGTCTTGCAATTTGCACTTATGCTTCCCTCACCAGCTCCAACACAGCCTGTTTCCGTGCAGCAAAGATACTTCTTTAGTATGAGAGTAAGTAACCTTACAGAAGTAAAACGAAAAATACATAATGGCTGTTCTGGGTTCCATTACCAAGTGACTTATTTCAGTTCCTATTTGTTAGACACTTCCATAGCGGGCACTTCATTAACATTTGGGTGCTCCCAAAGATGGGAAGATACCAGCTCATAGGAAATAACTGCAAGCCTCTCTCGGTTCTGCTCCAATCTTTTAACTACTTTAATTAATTGCTAAAAATGATGATCATTGAGCTCTCACCCATCATCCTCTATTGCATCTGTTTTCACCCTCTCGCTTCCTTCTGAATTTGGAGATGACACCAGAGCCTTTTTGCTTTTTGAATCTTCTTGGCCTTTTTTCTGCTGCATCTGCTCCTTTATTCTGCTGCCCTGCATCCTTTCCTTCCGGGCCCTATTTGTGCTGCTCTTCCTGCCACCATCTCTTCTTATCAGTGGCAACGCTCCCTGCGAAAAAAACAAGCCTTCCCGCCGCAGAAATTCACAGAACTAGTGAGCGGCCAAAAGCGGCGAGTCATGCAAAACTGCCAACGGCGAAGGAGGAAGGAGGTCTGCTGCAACTTCTGCTCTTCCTTTTGTTTCTGGGCTTTGGTTTTCAAATTAGGATGACATCTTCAGAAGGGGCAGAAGCTCCGCGCTGTCCACTTAATCTCAAAGTCTGCGGCGGCGCTGGGGAAG